AATTTTTGCTTAGGTTTAGTTAAGGATCTTGCCTCTTCTGCTAGATATGGGAGTTTCGCAAAGTCAGGGGTAGCTTTTTGGGGGTTTCTATACTCAGGATTATGATATTTCGGACCCCCCTTTTTATAGAAACTACCAAATATTATCGAGACTTTGCTGCATCCTAGATTCCTCAAGCCAAAAGCTTCCCCTACTTGTCAAACTCCTCCGTCTGCTCTGCCACCACGGACCCGCCGAGAGCGAGTACCAGTAGTAGGCGGGCGGTAACCTCTTTGGGATGAGCTTTGGTTTAGGGTTTAGGGTTTAGGGTTTAGGGATGCAAGGTTTAGGTTGGTACCTGCCGCCCTGTAACAGTCTATATTAGAGGTCTTATTAAGGACTCTATATATGTATATAACTCTTCTATGCAAATTATCCAACTGTTACAGAGTGGGGGCAGTACCAAGGTTTATGGGGTTCAGAGATTAAAGTCCTAAACCCTAAACAGGGTTTCGGGTTTAGGCTTTTGGATTCCATGGTTGAGGGATAATCATTACAAGACTACTATCACTACTCTCAAGGATGTGTGTATATATATATATACACATACATATACATTTCAGGGCTTCAGATCAGGTGGATGTGGATGGGCCCCTTGCAGATTTTAGGGGCTTTTTTGAAGGGATTCAGAAGGATGCAACCGACCGAAATTGAGTCCCCCTTGGAGGGGCCACACTCCACGGAGCCAAGAAGCTCTCCGAGGCCTGGCACCATACCTTGAACAGTGGGAGAATTGTCTCCCGTGATGCTCAACAAGGGCAATCTCTTTAAAAGCTCTGCGTGCGCCATCTCTGGAAACTATGCACTCATGAGAATGTCAGAAAGGCGACTACTTTGACCTTACACCGTTTCTAAATTACAACATGGCAGCGGGTTCAGTTTGGGCATTGCCCATGATGCATAAAACCCTAAACCCAATATGACCCATTATAGGTTTCCATTTTCTTTTCCATGATCCCCATAAAACCCCAATATAACCACCCTTAACCCTAAACCCTAAACCTTAAACCCTAAGAAAACTGCACGCCCAGAAGGCTGGGAAGTTGTCAGTTTTCCTGTGGCAGTCCACATTGGGTCCAAGGCCATACTTGGGGGGTTTAGGGTTCAGGGTTTAGGGTTTAGGGTTCAGGGTTTAGGATTTAGGAGTTTCCAGAAGTTGCCGGTCTTTGTTTGGGTGTCCCCATAACAAGGATTGTAAGGCGAACAGCCTCTTCACCCCTGCACCATCATCCCCAAAAAATAGGGGGTCCCGATATGGACCCCTCAAAATTGCAATCCTTATTCTGGGGACCTCCAAAGGCTCTAAACCCTTAACCCAATGTATCCCTAAATATCCTTTAAAAGGGACCCAACTATTGGGTACCCCCAAACTCAGCCAAGGTGCTTTAAATGCCATGATGGCCACAAGGTTAGTTGCCTCAGCTACACAGAGAACTGTGGGATGCCAATTGACAGGAGCTTGAAATTGGGGTATCTTTGAAAAAACTTTAGGGTTTAGGCTATATGGGGACTATAGACAGCTTGAAATTGGGGTACCTTTAAATGGACTTTAGGATTTAGGGTATACGGGGACTATAGACGGATATATGGGATCTAGGACTTCCCAACATTTGGGGTACGCTTGGGGTTTTGGGGGGATATGTAGGCGTATGTGGGGCTATATAGGGATATGTAGGGTTTAGGACTTCCCAACGTTTGGGGTACCCTGCTGGGGGTCCCCAGAATAAGGATTACAAGAATTGGGGGTTCATATTGGGGTCCCCTATTTTTGAAAACCCACATCTTGAAGACCCCGAACATCAATCTGATTGAGCTTGTTTACAGTGCAGGAGACAATGATCCAAAAAAAGCCATCGGTATAGGAAAGTATACGTACGTCTTCTTCTGTATCTTGAACTTCAGCTGACTACGGCGATTGTTTGTTCTACTACTTGGCTCTAGCTTCAAAGAGGCAAAGTCTGAGGCTCTGAAGTTGTAGCAGCATGCCTTCAGGAAAGCTCCTTGCTTGGTGCCCCAAATCCCAAACTGACCCCCCAATCCTAAACCCTAAACCCAGGTTTAGGGTTTAGGGTTTAGGGGTTAGGGTTTAGGGTCTCTGGCTATGAACGTGTGGGTCACTGGCATTTATAACTACAATTCACACGGCCACCAGAAAGTGTCAGCCGAGGTGCAAGGCAAGACCCGCCCGAGATAAGGTGATGCGCGTTTGGGCCCGCAAGAGCTGCAAAGAACGATTCGGTTTATAGGGATGTATAGGGATTATATAGGGCCATATTGGGGTTACGTAGGGATAATTGACAAGCAAATGGAAACTACTATTTAGGGTTTCGGGTAGGGCTTAGGGTTTGCTGTTCAAAGCGGCAAGATCACCAGCCATCAAGGCAAAACAGCAAGTCTGGTTGCTGCATAGCTGAAGCCTCAACTATCGATGCAATTCTACCGATCGATTAGGCAAGAGTTAGCGGGCCGAGGACCGAGCAGAACCGTAGAGGCCCTTAACTTACAGGTGCTTGGTAGGGAATTAAGGAATATACTCCCCATGATATTTGGCCTTCTTCCCTACTAACCCCCAGTAAGTTAACTGTTTATTAGCTGCGGCAATCCCGCAAGGCTTTTTGGTCCAGCAGTGGCCGCAGATGCTGCTAAGCCTGTGCTTTACGCGGAGGCCCTGTGCCTTTCTGAAGCAGAAGCTTTGTGGTCGTTCAGTCTCTGAGGGTTTAGGTGTCAGGCTTTAGGGTTTAGGGTTCAGGATTTAGGGTTTAGGGTGTTAAGATCAAGGGCTTCTGGGTTTTACCCCTAAAAGGTTTCCCCAATTTAGCCCCAATCTAGCCCATATATGGGCCATTGTAGTCCCCTAGAGTCCCTTAAAAGCTTCTGGCTGGAGGGTAAGTCTGGATGTGACTTCAGGATTAGGTCAACCTTGCCTCATTCCCACTACCCCAAATGTGAAGAAGTCGGTTTAGGGTTTAGGGGTTTGGGGTTCAGGGTTTTAGGGGTTTGGAGTTTAGGGTTTGGGATTTAGGGGTTTAGGGTTTGGGGTTTAGGGGGCTAGGGGTTTAGGAGTTGAGGGGTCAAGGGTTTAGCGCTTGGGGTAAACTGGAGAACTGATAACATTGTCCCCTATTTGTTAAGGGGGGGTTCCCTGTTTAGGCCCTCAAGCCTTTACGCCATGCATCCCTATGATCCCCCTGTGTAACTCGTATACATGTAACGCACACATGCTCACATGTATGTCTGTATATCTGTATGTATGTATGTATGTATGTATGTATGTATGTATGAGATCTAAACCCTAAACACTAAACATGCAAGCCCATCCCCTACAACCCCAAACCCTATATAAACCTCTAAATCCGAAGCCCTAAACCCCTAAACCCTAAACCTATCTCTCTCTCTATGTATATATATGTATATACATATGTATATATAGTATCCCCCTTAATAACCCCTATAATAGTCCCCTATATAATCCCCCATATAATCCCCCTTTAAGGAGTTTATACTATAGCTCATATAGAGATAGAGATGTAGGTATGTACTATGTCCAAAGCTCCCTGCCCCCTCAGGTTCCGCTGTGACGTCCCCTTGGGCCTCACTAAATCTCAGGAGAGTTGAGCAGGGCCCCTGTCCAAGAGACTACAGAACCCAAACCCAACAAATGGAACCCTGTAAAGGGGCTTGTAGGGGTCTATATAGGGGTATATAGGGTTTAGGGATTAGGGTTTAGGAATCCAAAAAATGGAATCCCCCCAGAATGGCTTCGTTACTACATTGGGGAACCTAGGGGATTATTATGGAGTTCCATTTTTTGGATCCTTTAGGGAGTCTGGGAAGGCCTCTGGGCACTTCTGGGGCCTAAGTAATTCGCCAAATAAGTGATTTAGGGTTTAGGGTCCATTTGAGGTAGCTTATTATACAATGAGTCTAGGACTGGGTTTAGGGTTTAGGGTCTATTTGAGGTAGCCTTTTTGTCATTATACAACGAGTCTAGGACCACAGTATTGGCAACTTGCTTTGACCCAATTTGGGCCCTACGGCATCCCGATCAAATGCAGGAATTTTTGTACCACCTGATATACCCTATACCCTAGGCATGGGAGTATTGTGGGGTTTAGGCTTCAGAGTTTAGGCTTGTTCTGTAACTTTCTGATTTGTCTGCTTCGGTTTTGCCCAAGGGGTCCTAAATCCTAAGCTCTAGGGTTTTAGGGTTTAAGGGTTTAGGATTCTACTGTACTTGCTACGTACAGGGCTAGATAATCGGAATCAGGTTTGGGGAATGTTCTGCAAAAGCTACGGAAGGGTTGCAAAGGAATGATGCGGGTAATTCCTAGAAGCTCCTATATAAATCCCATATAATTGATTTAGTCCCTATAAAACCTACATAACCCATTTTAAAGTGACCCCATTTTCTACGACTTGTGTAGATTCTTGCAAAAAACGCCACGCAGTTGCCCCCTCAACTTCCCTGAGAACTGGGCGAGCAGAGCTCAGACAGCACTTTGCGCACCCGGCCCGTCAAAAGATGCTGCTCCGTGATATAGGGGATGATGCTTTGCTCTAATTCTTCATGGAGGGCTGAAGGTTTATCAGTCAGAGTTTGGGGTTCACAGGGCTTCGCCACAAGAAAGTCTCAGGTCCTGCGAAGGGGGCCTGAAAGCAATTGGGATCTCATTCACGTTAGTGAAATAGGACACTTCTAACCCTCAATACGAAATCAGACGGAAGCAAGGCCCCGTAGAAATAATCAGATAAAGTCCTATAGCCTCTTTTATAATCGTTTGCAGGGGGATTTCGAGACCTGCCTCATGCAGCAATGGCCGATATAAATTTTGCTTGCAAGAAGACAGGGACCCTTCATGAACCACCTGCAAGAACCATGACGCGGACATGACTCCCATACAAGCCGCGAAGCAGCACATCTGGTGTTGAAGAGGTTAGATAAACTTGAAGCGGTGAAGGCCTCACTCTTGGGCATGGATCCAATCGCCCCAGCCGCTCTGAGGATTATCCTCAGCTGGGTGGCAGTAGTGGGTGGAAGTTTCCCAACAGCGGCGTGAATAGCTGATATCTTAACCTGCGAGCGGTGCTTTGTAACAACGTGAGGGTTTTTACCTAGGCGTTGGCGGAACTTGGACAACATGTGGCCTCGGCATGTAAATTCCATGATAAAATGCCCCAAGCCCTGCATCAAACTGGCGTTGCCGGATGTCACTCTTGACTCAGGTTGCCATTACAAAGAATATAGGTACATATATCAAAATCCTACTGCCTTCCTGTTATGCGCACATAAGACGGTTCGGGGTTAGCCTGGCCAATGACATGCCAGCTGTGACCTTGCCAACATTTGAGCAGCGCATGCAGCCGCAGCTATCACCATGTTAACGCCTGAGCAAGAAGAAGAACAACAACAATTACAAGGGGGCGACTATGACTACTAATGGTACTAGTACGTTTGGCATTGCCACCAACAACCGCGACGCGGCCACCTAGTAACAGTAACCGTAACAGTAACAAACTGTACTGATGGCATTCAGAGTGTTGAAGTGGTGATGGCAACCGCGCTAATCCCCTTCCCTTGAGATCAAACAAGCCCCTTCTCAGAATTCAGTATTACATATTGGGATCGTTCATATCAAAAGGGCGCGCGGTGCACGTTAATTCGCCGAGGCATCCGGCCTCAGGATCCCCTCCACTCTACCCCAGCGGCTCCTGCCAGCCCCCCACTGTTTCAGTGTGCGCGATGCAAGTCGAGCTTCCAAATCCAATTGCGTTAGGGGCGCAAATGTCCCAATAGAATGTGCCGATTGTCCCAAATGACCATGCTTTCCGACTGTTGTAAGTGTCCAAATTGTCCCGAGTACAGCGAAGGCTTTGCCATCTCAGGCCCATCATCGTCACTCTGGTTGCTGTTACGTGAAATAATGTCGACGGCGTTACTATAAGGGGGATGGTAATCATGAACTTCCTTTGGCCGAAAAAAATGCTGAGATATAGAATTCAAATTTTGTTAATTCCGAACCTATATTTTGCTTGATATGCTCTATGCACATATTGCGTGGCGAGGAGGTGCATTTTATCAAGGGGCGGTAATATAAAAATTCCCCGGCCTAAACATATCATGGCTCGCAATTGAGAACAAATGAAAAGAACCCCTACTCTCACTCCTACTCTTACTCCGAGAGAGCTCAGGGTCCAGAGTTCTTATTGCGACCCAAAGTGTTCCGGACGTTTGTCCCGAGATTGGTCCGCCCGGAACTCCCTGAAGAGTTTTATATCGGGCCCAACATTTCTGGGGCATTGTCTTCTCTTCGCCATTGCCACAGGATTGCTCTCGGAACCTTTCCTCCATTACTCTTTGCCCGCGCATAATCCACTCGCGATCTTGCCTGGGTACCTCTGTAAATTGACAGCACTTCGGATATCCCGAGCGCTTCACTACCAGGTTGAGATGTGACTGGTGCGCTACAGCCCTCACATGCAGGACAGACTGCAAGGCGCTCCAGTGTCTCTTTCCTTCCGAGCGCAGGCGTGCTGGTCAAATGAATCCTTTACCAATGCTTCAGACGAGCTTCTCTTTATTGGTCTGAAGCCCGAAAACCAAAGCATACACGCGCGTATAGAATCAACAAGGGCCCCTACTCCCTAAACCTTACCAACCTAAGCCCTCAACCTGACCTAAGCCCCCAAACAAAATGATACTCAAAATTGTCTTTCCGATTCTTCCATTCCCTCACAAAACCCTTAACAAAAAACTAAAACTACTACTACTGCTGCTGCTGCTGCTGCTACTACTCCTCCTCCTCCTCCTCCTCCTCCTTGTTACGTACTCCTCACGATCTTATTATGACCCGTAGGCTTAAGCCCTAAACCGTGTCCAGGCGCCCAGGGCCCAGTGGAAGCTCCGACAGCCTCCTCGGAAGTCACTGCCGCTTCGGCGTCAGCAACCTGCAGGCTTAAGGGTTGTAGGGGGTCAGGGGTTTAGAGTTGTAGGGCTTTCGGGGTTTAGGGTTGTAGGGTTTTAGAGGTTTCGGGGTTCAGGGGGTTTTAGAGGTTTATGGGTTCAGGTTTTCTTGGGGGTCTTAGGGGTTTAGGGGTTAGGGGTGTAGAAGTTTAGGGGTTTTGGGTTGCAGCGTTTTAGGGGTTTAGTAGGGTTGTAGGCTGTAGGGGTTTAGGGTACCCTGCTTGGATTTATTAAATCTACATAACAACTGGGGCCATAGGGACTTACAATGAGGTTCTTCGGGATAGTAAGAGAGCCTCCAAGTAAAGCCTAAACCCTAAAACCCTGAAACCCTAAAATCCTAAAACCCTTAAACCCTAAAATCCTAAAAAACCCTAAAATCCTAAAACGCCTAAAAGCCTAAAATCCTGAATCCTAAAAACCCTAAAAGCCTAAAGACCCTAAGCCCCTAAGGTTTTGCACCGCCTCCTCCTGAGACCAAGCTCCAGCGTCATCCCCCTGCTGCTGTGGCTCCTCCTGAACATTAGAGTTTAGGGTTTGGGTTTCAGGGTTTGGGGTTTTAGGGTTTAGGGGTTTTAGGGTTTAGGGGCTTTAGGGTTTAGGGGAAAACTGACATCAACATGGGGCGCCCTGGAATCAGGACTAGCATGTGTCCGGGGTATCGCAGGCGGACCCTAACTTATACCTACTCCCAGTGTGCCGGCTGAATACTTGTTATTACTTGGGGGGTCAAGGGGACTTAGTAAATGGGTTAATAATGGGGATAAATGGGGTTACGATATCGGTTATAGGGGTTATTAACCTGCTTACTAAGTTTTCCTGACCCTCCAAGTAGGAGGTTTGGTCACGTCTTTGATATTTGGGCTTTTCACTCAGCACTCAGCATCCAAGGCTTTCGGCATCTCTAACAGGTTTGCAACTTTGGGACGAAGACACCATTGCAAGGAGACAAAATGGGTTCCTATGAAATTGCCTTACATGCAAACGGCGGGGAGATGAGGTGAGGTAGGAGTGAAACAGGGTATACAGGGTTTGTATGCTTGGGGTACCCTTATTCTAACTTATGAGCTATCGTCTAAACTCCTAGTATCCCCCATAATAACCTTTACAAGATTCCCCATATAGCCCCTTTAAGGAGTTTGGACTATGGCTCTTATACCTCTTGGTTGCCAAGGCCCTGGCCTACAAAGCCTCATTGCCCATTAAGAGCCAAGAGCTCATTCAAAAGGGGCCGAAGTTTTTGAGTGAGCCTTACAACCAGAGACAGCCTTTTGTCCATAAACTTAAGGGATTGCGGGACTTGCCCCATCTGCAGCCGTAGCAGGTCTTGAGAAGGCTGGATACATGGGCAACGGTCTCCGGGGACTTACTTCTTAGTGTGGCTCTCCATCACGAACCGAGGAGGGGTCTGAGTGACAGGTTCCCTATGATACTGCAAATCCGAAAAGAACCAAATCTGCTAATCGAACAATACACCTCTACAAACGCTCATCATGGCAATTCTCCACAGCCTGCAACGAATCATGAATTTCGAAATCTAACCAAACACAATGTTGGATTCCTGGTAAAGCAATTGTGCCAGAAATCCCTACAACTCAACCCCCCTCAAGCCCTGAACTCTGAATCCCCTAACCCAAGGCCCCCAGAAACCCAGAAACCCTAAACGGCCCTTACCCTTAAACTAACAACCAAGAAAGCCCTGAACCCCTCAGCCCCAATGCTCCGAGTCCTGGCTTTGATAGCAGGATTTACCTCAGCCATCTGGGAGTTTCTCGAAAAAGGGGGTTCCTAGGGGTTTAGGGTTTGGGGTTTAGGGTTGGGGGAAATAGAGTTCAACATGAAGACTGTCCGCACACACGTGGAAACAGATTATCCACAATTAAGCCAATATCATGGTCGTGAGTTCCGTGTAACATGTCTCATTTGGGAGGACCCCCCCCCACCTTGCAATAGTGGCATAATAGGAATATATGAAGACCCAAATGATAATCAAGTCAAGTTTATCCCTTATAGTCAGTATGGCTGGGCGGGGGGTCCACCTAATGCATGGCACAGGTAATTGCGACCCTACATAACCCTAAACATATAGACTAACTTCGATTTCATTTTTCGTTCGATTCTCCATTATTGGGATCCCTGCCAAACCCTAAACCCGAAAGCCTAGACCCTAAACCCTACACGCTAAATCCTAAGCCCTAAACCCTAAACTCTACACCTTACTTCTTGAAGCTACAAACTATAATCTCGACTTTTTCGTCCGTTGAGAAGGACTGGCGGCCCTAAGCCTCCTAGGGGGTTTGGGTCATGCCACAAAATCGCTTTGAGTGCGTCATGCTGCTGTGCAACATGCTGCTACGGTCTGACCGCCGCAGGCCTTTTACTACATTCACTCACCCCTCTCGGTCCCAAACCACCCAAACCTATTCCTTTTAGGGATTAGGATCTGAACTAAAGCAGGTCCATCCTGGTCAACAACTACAGCCAGCATCTTCTTGCCGGCTTTCTGGAAGATGCCTGCGCGGGCTCCGGCACCGGGCCTCGCGTGGGTGCTAAGGTGCCCATGGCTCTGCTGAGGCGGGTCCAGCTCAGTATGCGCCATTGATGTCGAGGGGGCATAAGCGCGGCCCACCATCGCAGGTGGGTGGCTTAAGCCATGAGATAAAGGTTTAGGGTGTAGGGTTTTGACTTTTGGGTTTAGGGTTGGGAAGCATGAGGCACCATTTGAAACGGCTTCTCCCAAGGGTGAAGTCTGCATACAAACGTCTCTGAAAGTCTTCTTGAGACTCCTCCTCCCGTGCGTACGTTCCCACCAAACACGGATCCGACTACAACCCCCCGACGAATCACTGAATCCTAGCCCCTAAACGCAAAATCGCGACATCCTTACTGCCTACCTAGTCGCCGCCCGACCCACAAGCCCGAGCTCTACGAAGTTAAGACCTTCTGAGAAGTGTACCCTGCCCTTTCCTCAATGTCCACCTGCCCTCCCCTTACGAGCAGACCTCTTGATCTGGCCAGGAAAACCATTCATGAGAACGATACGGAGTAGGACTTTTCGGAGGCCCTACAATAATCCCTACAACCTAATTTCCCCCTCACCTTTAAGCATTGATAAAGCTTATCCTAAGGAAGGGAGCTCGAGGCCTGCAATCTAGGCCTATTTAACCTGAGTACCGTTTGCTGGCATACTCTACTGCAGCAGTATGGCGGCTTCCCTAAATGAGGGTCCCAAGAACAAGGACCACAGTATTTGGGGGTCTATATTGGGGTCACCTTATTTTTGGAAACTACCATGTAATTAGGGTTTCCAGAAATAGGTGACCCTGTATGAACGCGAGATACTGGAGTCCATGTTATCGCGACACCCCCAAAGATGAAAGAAGCCCCTGGAGTGTTGGACACCCCACCTAAGGGTTATAAGGCGGTCCCCCCAAAACCTCCACCCCCCGCAATTGTCATGAACAACATCAATATAGTACTTATCTCTGTTCAGGGAAAACTAATTACTAGGGGGGTGGGGCGGGGTTGTAACCCTAAACCCTAAATAGCAGCTTCCATGTTCTTTTCTTTTCCATTCCTTTTATGCCCCTGGTCAACCTCTCTGTATGACCGCATAGAACACCTTAGGTAGGCAGATTCATCCGAACGCTAAGCCCTAGGCCTTAACCTTTTGGAGTTATCTTGGGGAAGGATTGGGGGATTTATCAATAGTCCTATAGGACCCTGCCCCTCTATAACCTCATATCAGTCATAGTCTCAACCCCTAGTATCCCCCTTAACAACCCCTACAATACTCCCCTACATAACCCCCTATTTGACCCCCCTTTAAGGAGTTCAGACTATGGCTCATATAATCTTTTTGGTGTCTGTTGTTACCCTGAACCCTAAACCCTGGAGGTTCAAGCTTCTGCAGCACCAAGGCAGGGGCACATGAAGCCAGTTTGGGCAAACTGCGATCCCCCTCCGGAAGCGGGGGCTTCAAAGGAGACTTAGAGTTTTTAGTTTAGGGCTGTAGGGTTTAGGGGTTTAAGGTTTAGAGTTTAGGGTTCGGAGTTTAGGGTTTAGAGTTTAGGGCTTAGGGCTTTAGGGTTTAGGGTGTATTTGGGACCCTAGGGGTGCTCATGTGGTTTTTGATTATTTCTTCTTTTAGGAATCCTGGAATGTTGGGCGTTTAGGGCTTCTAGAGTGTTGGGATCTGAAAGTCTCAGAAGTGTTTTCTTGCGGGCGCTTTCGGGCGGAAGCTTCTATTTGTGGCGATTTCACATGACGAGTAAATGAACAGCTTGGGACTTTGGGTCCAAGGACTTCGGTGTACCTCAGGGGCCTAACAATTTGCAACATGTTCCCTCTATACCATTTTCTGTACAGTTCCGGTATGAGCTATAGCCTAAACTCCTAGTATTCCCCTTAATAAACCCTATTATGGTACCCTATACAATCCCCTTTATAACCCCTTTTAAGGAGTTAAGACTATGGCTCATGTGAGGTACCTGAAAATCTAGTCCGTTAATCTAAGCAGCCCCGCAGTGTGGCCCTTGCTGCCATGCGGTGCCACAACCCTAAACCCTAAACTGGGTTGCTGTTAAGGAACTGCATTTACGATAGTATATTTATGTTTTTTTTGTAGACCCATTATGGTAACTTAATATAAGGTCCTTAACAGCAACCCAGTAAACCCGGATGACTCCTTGCAAGTCTCAGGGAAGTCTCTGAAGCAGCCGCGTCGCTCTACGACAAGGATTCTTTTGGGGAATGCCTGAACCCTGAACCCCATACCCCGAGCTCTAATCCCTAAACTCTGAGCCCTAAACCCTAGTCCCTAAACTCGAAACCCTAAACCACCCCTGTGCTCTCCTCCAACAATGGATTTCCAACCGCGGCCCTAAAAAGAAAGCTGCCCAGCCCCAAATCCAAAGAACGAAGAACATCCTGGGGCCCTGCTACGCTGCCTTCTGAACCCCCAAAACCCTCATCTAACAAGAGCATCCTGTAAGACCACCCGCCCCAAATCAGGACCCCGTGAATATAAATAAATATATATATATAT